ACTCCACTTCTTATCAAGTGTCATGCAACATAGTCCTTTATATCATGTTAATGCAGGGGAATTTGCAAAATAAATTCTGCATCAATGGGCCAAAAAAATTCCTAAAGCAAGCCTTCATTCCATCCGCCTATTATTGGATCACTAAGCTCATGAACTCGAGTAAGCACTCTATTTTCACAAACTTTGATGATTTTCCTAGAACAGTTGTTTGGGATCCAACAGTCCTCCCAGATATTATCTTCAAACCATTGCCAACTCTCCAGATACTCCCTTTTATTGAAAGTTTAAACTCCTGCCCAAATACACACCGGATGGGTAATACTTGGATTGAAGCACCCTTGCACATAATGAATCATGGCGCTCTATGAATCTCCAGCATTGTTTGGCTAGCATTGCCAAGTATAGCACGAAATCTCATTCCGCCTCTGTCCTTTGGGACACACATTCTCCACCTTGTCGCCGTCCACTTGCACCACCACCCCTCGCCACCGCCATGACAGAGAAAGAGAAAGGCAAAAAAAATACTGGCTCACCGAAATGTCAGTCCCACATGCCATGAGTAAACTGGGGATCAGTTTTGGTGATCTGTTACAGCAACACACATCGAAACGAATAAATTTATAGGACATCTCATTAATTTCTTTCCTTCCCGTATGAATATGTTTATTTCTTTCCTTTTCATCTGAATTTTCTTAGAAGCTTGTAATATGTTCAGTATTCTAAAATGTTGTGACCTCTTTTCCTTCTGTAGATTATGGTGATATTTATGTTGTAAATGTTAGGCAGATGATATTTTTTATGATTTATGTTTTCTAGATGTGATTCTCAAAGCTTATCTCGTAGGCAACACTTATTATCAAACATTCAAGATCTGATCGATTTAAGGACAAAATAATCGAAGTTTTTCGTGTATGTGAACAAAAATAACCTGGGGAAAGACATGGACAACTGATGAGCATTTGAAGTTTTAGTATGAGAGCAGCTACACTCAGGCTTATATACTCCAGGATATTCCATTTTCAGTTAGTGCAAGCATAGTGACCTATTTTGCATATCTTCTTATTATTTTGTCATACTAAAGAAGGGAGCCTTTTGTTTATATTTTTTGTTTAAAATGCCACATACATTTTTCAATCCCGGAAATTCCATGGCAGTTTTATCTTTTGTAGCACGCCATTTTTATTATTGAGAGATGGCATTTTATGTTTTAATGGCATGGCAATTTTATTACTAAGAGCATGGTATTTTTTATTAACAATATGATGGCATTTTTATTATAAGAGGATGTCGGCTTTTATTATAAGAAGATGGCATTTTTTTACCTTGTCATTTGTTTATAAAGCGGATGGCATTTTTTATTATAAGAGGAAGGTATTTTTATTATAAGAAGATGACATTTTTTATCGTGGCATTTATTATAAATCTGTCATGCATGAGACGAGAGCATACCTGCGGACTCTTTAGGTGAGACGAGAGCTATATCGAGGCCGGGTCATGAATGCATTTTCTCGCTCGGTCGCTCGCTCATTCTATGAGGGTGCTTGGATACGTTTTAGTCCCATGACTAAAAGTAGTGGGACTAAAACTTGCTAGCTTCACTCATGCTTGAATCCAAATACTAAAGAGACTAAAATCAAGTTATTGAGCATTTATTATCCTCCAAACCCTCCAATCCAGAACTCGCATGTGTCAAAGAAGAGGCATTAAATGAGGAGAGAGAGGGCTAATATATATTTTAGTAGGTTTTCTATGACTAAAAAATTTTAGCCTCAAGACTAGTCCTAGCCTCTCTTTAGTCAGGGGTACTTGAAACTTTAGCCTCTAAAAGAGACTATTTTTAGTCAGACTAAAAATAGTTCCTTGGATCCAAGTATCCTCTATATCTCACTTATAGCGAGTATAGCTCTCGCGCTGGCTACTAGGGTCTGAAAGTAAAACGGAGGACCATTGAACGGCGACAACGCATGCGAGAAGCTCAGTTGGCAAACACGCCCACGTGCCGAGGAAGTAGACCCATAAAATCTAACAAGCCTTACTAAAATCAAATAGGCTTTTACTGGAAGGCTTTTATGGCAAGCTTTATTATAATCAAATAGCATTTACATCATCTGCAAAAAAGCAAGAGTGTGTGTGTTTAGAAAAAGGATAGCGTGCGCGGGTGTGTGTGTTATGGGATGGCTTTTATGGCAAGCTTTCTTAAAATCAAATAGCATTTACATCATCCGCAAAAAGAGCAAGAGTGAAAACTAGGGGGTGAGTCCAACCACATGGTCGGTGGATCAACACCTCTCTGTTGAGCTAGCATATGAGCGACCATGTTTGACTCTCTATTACAATGTTCGAAAAGAACCATCCCGAAGTCACCATATAACTGTTGACATTCTTCAAAGATAGGGCCGGCCACCATCGAATGACCTATGCTAAAATCTAGAGCATCCACAACGACCAGATTATCCATACGCACAGTGAGAGTTATCGCTTCCTCCGAGACGACTTCCATAACATGTTATAGCTTGGCCGTAGATGCGGTAATGAATGCTCCGGTGTAACCTCTAACGATAGCACCACAAGAACCGAAGTGATCGTCCTCCAAAAGGAAGCATCGATGTTTAACACCAATTGGGCCAGCATGGGTTTCATCCATATGTTAAGTCTCATATTAGTAGTTGGTTTGCCCGCAGCTCGAACAAAATTCAAGGCCACTACCTTCACAGTCAGGCCCGAGCATACAAGTGTTTGCACCTCTTCCTCTTGGCAATGAGAGACCGCTGCCACACAATATACCAGCAAGACACTTCTATCATCTCCGGTAATTCAACCACGTCTAGGTAGGTCTTCTGGTTCGCCAAGTCGCAAAGAAGAAAATCGAGTATCTCCGCTCCGAACCTCCCAGGGAGCCCGACATTGTAAATGACTTCATGTAGTCCAAGAAAAGGCCATATTTCAGTGGCATGATCACACCCAAACAAGGCATGTCCCACATCATTGGATGGCGCTGGCAAACCGGACATTGCGCCCAAGTGGATATGTGACGATTAGCCAGTACACTAAAACATGGAATGGCGTCATGTAGAGATCTCCATATGAATATTTTCACTTTGCTTGGTACTTTAAGCCCCCATAGTTTCTTCCAAATAGGATGGGGTGATGAACCACCAGAAAGAGAAGAACTATGACCCAGATTGCCATACTCATTGTTTATAGTGGGCCGAGCGAACACTAAAAACTCCAAATTTTGTCAAGTGCCATGCACCATAGTCCTCTGCATCATGTTGATGTGAGGGAATTTGCAAAATACGATCTGCATCAATGGGCCAAAAAATCCCAAAGCAAGCCTTCATCCCGTCCGCCTATTATCGGACCAATAAGCTCATGAACTCGAGTAAGCACTCTCTTTCCACGGACTTTGATGGTTTTCCTAGAAGAGTTGTTTGGGATCCAACAATACTCCCAAATATTATCTTCAAACCATTGCAACCCTCCACATACTCCCTTTTATTGAAAGTTTAAACTCCAACCCAAATACTTTGCCGCGCATAAGATGTGCCTTTCTTTAACTCGCAGTTGAGCAACTCACCGGATGAGTAATACTTGGATCGAAGCACCTTTACACATAATGAATCATGGTGCTCTATGAGTCTCCAAAATTTTTCCCGTGCAAAGATATGCACATCACGAAACCCCCATTCCACCTTTGTCCTTTGGGCCACACATTCTCCACCTTGTCGCCGTCCACTTGTGACACCACCCGTCGCCACCACCATGACAACGAAAGAGAGAGGAATAAATAAGAAGAAGAAAAATCTGGCTCGCCAACATGTCATTCCCACATGCCATGAGTATACTGGGGATGCGTTTTGGTGATCTGTTACAGCAACACACATCAGAAACCGAATAAATTTATAGGGCATCTCATTAATTTCTTTCCTTCCTGTCTGGATATGTTTATTTGTTTCCTTTCCATTTGAATTTTCTCAGAAAATTGTAGCACGTTCGGTATTCTAAAATGTTATGACCTCTTTTCCATCTGTAGATTATGGTGACATTTATGTTGTAAATGTTTGGTATATCATATTTTTCATGATTTAAGTTTTCTATGATGTGATTCTCAAAGCTTATCTCGTAGGCAACACTTATTATGAAACATTCAAGATCCGAGCAATTTAAGGACAAAATAATATAGAAGTTTTTCATGTATGTGAACAAAAATAAACTGGGGAAAGACATAGACAACTGATGAGCATATGAGGTTTTAGTATGAAGCAGCTACACTCAGGCTTATATACTCCAGGATATTTCAATTTCAACTAGTGCAAGCATAATGAGCTATATTTGGGATATCTTCTTATATTTTTGTCATACTAAAGATGAGGGCATTTTATGAATATTCTGTGTTTAAAATGCCACATATATTTTTCAATCCCGAAAATCCCATGGCAGTTTGATCTTTTGTAGCATGCCATTTTTATTATTGAGAGATGACATTTTTATTTTTAATGGCAAGGCAATTTTATTACTAAGCGCATGTCATTTTTATTAGCAATATGATGGCATTTTTATTATAAGAGGATTTCAGCTTTTTGTATAAGAAGATGGCATTTGTTATCATGTCATTTGTTTATTATGGGGATGGCATTTTCTTATTATAAGAGAGTGGCATTTTTATAAAGAGGATGGCATTTTTTTTATTATAAGAGAATGTCATTTTATAACAGGATGGCATTTTTTATCGTGGCATTTATTATAAATCTGTCATGCATGATTTATATATGATGGCATTTTCCCCCTTATTTTTGTACTAGCTGTTGTACATGCAGATCTTTTGAGATGTGGTAGTTTATATGGTTTTTCTCTCATTTTGAATGAATCGTTCGATCGGGGTCCTACCCAGAGACTGGACGCGAGATAGCCCAAGATGTGGTTGAGTACTAAGATGTTTTTGCAGTTTGAATTTGAACTTAAAAAACATCTTACATTTAGGAACAGAGAGATACCACTATTTAAAAGTGATCCTCCCGCCTCTTGATCCGCACGCGGAGCCCACCCTTCATCCTCAGCGTCGCACCCAGCTCGTACGGCGGCGGCGCGTCCATGCTCGCCGGCGTCTCCACCATCTCCACCGCGAACCTCCGGATCACGGCGGCCGCCACGGCCTTCATCTGCACGTACGCCATCTCCTTCCCGAGGCACGCCCGCGGCCCCGCATGGAACACCGGGTACCTCGCCGCGTCCGCCGCCACGAACTCGCCGCGATCACCGTCGAGCCACCGCTCGGGTCGGAACTCGCGGCAGTCGTCACCCCACAGCCGCGGCATCCTCCCCATCGCGTAGGCCGAGTAGTCCGCGAACCAGCCGGCCCGCACCGTCGTGCCGTCCGGCAGCACGTCCGCAGCCACCGCCACGCGCGTGTTGATCGGCACCGGCGGGTACAGCCGCATCGCCTCCGTGAGCGCCGCGTGCAGGTAGTGCATCCCCTTCAGCTCCACGTATTCCCCGGCGTCGTCTCCGTGCGGCATGCGCGTGACCTCCTCGTGCACGCGCCGCTCGCACCCTGGGTTGGCGGCCTGGAGCCAGAAAAACCAGGTGAGCGCGGTGGATGTGCTGTCCTTCCCGGCTAGCACGAAGCTCACCACCACGTCCCGCAGGAACCGCCGCTTCGCCTCCGGAGAGCTGAACATCTCGCCGAGCTCACTGCCGCTGCCGCTGGCGGATTCTTCGTCCAGCGCCGACGCGAACCGCGAAAGGAGGTGCTGCTCGTGCTCGCCCTCGCCGTCCTCGGCCGGCGCACCTCGCGGCGGCTGCTCTGCCTCCAGCATCCCCATCACGTACTCGTCGATGACTCCGATGGCCTCACGCATCCGCCGCTCGCTCCCCACGTTGGCCAGCCTCATCGCCCTCCACAGCAGGGTCGTCGGGTGGAGTATCCGCGCGAAGGAGATCTCGACGGCGTCGTCGAACGCCGCGAAGAACGCCTCGTGCCTCCGGCTGCGGCGATCCCCGGCCTCGAGCTCGAGCAGAGTGGAGCTCTCGACGCCGAATGCCACGCCGCAGACGTTGTCGAAGGAGAAGCGCCGGAGCACGTCCTGCAGGTCAAGGGCCACGCCGGAGCCCGCGGCGAAGTCGAGGAGCGGGAGGAGGCGCCGCTGGAGGTGCTCCCGGAGCACCCGCCCGGAGAAGCGGCGGAGCGAGCGGGAGGAGAAGGAGTAGGAGGCGAGCTTGCGCTGGAGGGTCCAGAGGCGGCCGTCGGCGAGGAAGATGCCGCGGCCGAGCAGGTCGGCGAAGGGGTCCGCGAAGCGCGCGCCCTTGACGTAGTTGGGGAAGTTGGCGCGCAGGAGGTGGTCGACGGCCTCCGGGCTGGCAGTGGCGACGCCGCTGCCGAGGCCGAGCGGGCCGCGGACCTCGATGGTGGAGGCCGGGGACTCCGCGAGCTGGTCCGTGGCCCAGTCGAGGAAGCGGTGCAGGTTGCGGAGGAGCGGCACGGCGTTGCCGAAGACGCGGTTTGGGTGCGGACAGTGGTTCGCGCTCGCCGCAGCCGGTGCGACGCTGCGGCGCCGGAGGTAGACGGCGAGGAGGACAGGGAAGAGCAGCAGCAGCAGCGTGATGCTCCCGTCCATGACCACCATGATTGACTGGTGTGGTGGTTGGTCGGTATGTACGTACAGTCCTAGTCTCGTGATAAACACGGACTTTTCTTCTGGACGGAGATCGGTCCAGTTTGTGGTCGCAACAGGGAAGACGAAGACCAAGTGACCAACACGGTGGTCGTCGAAGCTGGCAAATTCTGCTCAGCGCGCGTCATCTGTTAGCGGTGGCCGACCGACGGTTGAGCCGGAGCCGGGGAAGACACACGTGAGCTAGGAGGATGATCGATGGATGCTCTCGTAACTCGTAAGCAATCCCTCCGTCCCCAGTTACTTGTAGTTGAAATGGTTGTATTTTTTTCCAAAGGTAATATATTAACATAGTAAAGATACCAATTACACCGGATCTCTGTATCAACAAAATGCCAAAAAAAAGTGTAAAAAAAAAGATGTCCAAAGAGATTAAGGATACACACGGTCCAAGAAAGAAAGAAGAACTGAAGAGAAAAGATCCCGTCACGGTAATCAATCACTAACATCAGCAGCACTCTAACCACCATTAAAGAAAACATCGGATACAAAAGAGGTTCTCCAAAAACAACGCCTTCGAAAAAGAAACAATGCACAAGCGTGGTCGTTGCCGAATCAGAGATCTTAGATTTTCACCTCGGAGAAAGTCCGAGTTCACCCAAAATCAATGCCTTCACCAAGGCCATTGCCAGGTACAATCAATAAAGGCCAAACATTAAATTTTTTACCCTGAAAATCGAGACTCGGTACTTGAGAAGCACCACAAAAAATGCAGCCCTTCAGTGCCACCTCCTCCGCTTGCTGAGGCCGCTGTTGCAAGTCACCAAACACGTGGCACACAGTCATCATCACATCCAATACACCCTTCCGCCAAAGCTTCAATACCTGCAATCACAGCCGCCATGACTTTCTTCACCTCTATCAATGCATTGGGAATCTTGACTTAGACATGTCCCATGACACCGATAAGAATCAAAGCTTCGCGTTGCGCTCTCTGGAGGCTGTGCTGGCTGATAATATGAGCACGCACGACTGGAGCCTTTCCGATCTCAATCCATATAGATCTCCGACGGGGAATACCGAAACTTGTCAGCGGCCAGATTCAAGAGTTCGACATACGGCAGAAAGACGACTTGGCAGAAGAAGAGTGCTAGGGCCAAACACCATTAGTAGGCCGAAGCCAACAACCGACATGCTGCCCTCCTCTCGATCCAGACCTTCAGACAAAGTCTGGGACGCCACATCGTGCCACCCGCAACCGCAGAGGCCCGAACTTGGCGAGACGCCAACCATGGCAGGAGCTGGACCAGACACTCATGGCCAGATCTGGCGAATCCCAGTCCTGCTGCTGCTACTACATCAACACCGTGTGTAGCCTGCAAGCCTAGCCATGACGCCGCCCACGTGGCCACCGCAGCCGACATCGCCATGAAGAGGGGCCGCCACGCCGGAGCCCTATCTCTGCCCCGATCTCTGCCATCCATCGCCATCGGTGTACCAGCAACCACCACGGAGAGGAGACCAACCGAGTTGCCCCGTCGCCGCCACCACACGCGGGCTTTGCCAGGCAGTAGCTACCGGTGGCGGCGAGGAGGATGAGGGGAAGAGCGGGGAGGGTCGCCGGCCAGAAGGAGATGGTGGCCGCTCGAGTCGCCGGGACGACGCGAGGGCGGATCCCTTTTTCCGGATTGTGGCGTTTTTTCCATGGTACATTTATTTCTATCCATTTTCACGACAAGTAACTTGGCATGGAGTGGGTACGAAGTATGTACATGCTTATAAATTTATATGTTTTTTTATATATGTGGTGTATATACAAATAAATAAGTACGCTGTTAAAAATGGTGTTTTGTGGGTGTTCAGCTAGAAAATCGCATTTTTGTGTAGCCGACACATCAACATATTATTTGACATTTTTCTTACATATACATTGAGTGAAAACATCTATTACATATAATACATATTTAAATAGTTAAATCATCGATCTAGAACTACGCGAAAGACTTATTAACCGAGATGGAGGTAGTATATGTCTCTTAACTATATACTAGAACACATTGTTGTTTAAAACTTCGAAGTATCGTCTTCCAACATTGAAACTCATGTAGATATTTAAGGATATTATGGATATGTAAATATTCCAACACACGAGGATACATTAAGGGCAATATTAATTTTTGGATTAATGTGGTACCATCAGTTTGCGTAAATCTATATTGAAATCGATTGCAACAATTTTTTTTCAGACATCCATGGTGACTTAAAAAATAATGTAGTTTATGTTCAACATAAGAAATAAAAAAATTGAAAACAGAACAATAAATATTAAAATGCATGCCAAATATGTACCTTAAAATATCGTTCTTCCAATTAGAAAAAAAAATTGTTTCTGCTTTCGGTCCAATTTTGTGTGAGTCCATTGATGGCACATCCATGAAATTTTAGAGTTTCTCTTTTTTTTGCGAGAAAACTTCCGATCTATTCATCTTCAATCATGGCAGTACGATGAACACCAGAAATAATAAAAATTACATCCAGATCCGTAGACCACCTAGCGACAACTACAAGCACAGAAGCGAGCCGAAGGCGTGGCGCCGTCATCGCCCCTCCATGGCCGGAGTCGGGCAAAACTTGTTGTAGTAGACAATCAGGAAGTCGTGCTAAGGCCCCATAGGACCAGCGCACCGGAACAGCAATCGCCGCCATTGAAGAGTAGCGTAGATCAAAATGATCCAACTTGAAAATACATGAACGTGGACGAACTATGACCAGATCTAAGCAAATCCACTAAGAATAGATCCGTCGGAGACACATCTCCACACGCCCACCGTACGATGCTAGACGCACCACCGGGATAGTGGTTAGACGGAAAGAATCCTATTCCATCTTTAGAGAGCCGCCGCCGTCTCGTCTTCATAGAGTTGTCGACTGATTGATTAGATGGCGAAATTTTAGAGTTTTCTACCTTAATGAAAACATAAGCATAATCTCGAAGGACTATATATTTGATTGTTATTATTCATTTCTTTTACTTGAGTAGTATTGTTTGACGGTGTGCTTCTTATCTTGGTTTTGGAGGGATATATGAAGATATAGACTGGGATATGAGTAGCGAACTCTTTTCTTTTTTGCGACCGAGCAACAAACATGTCGTGTTTTGACGAAGATGCGTTATTTACAAAGCATTGTTTGACGGCTCGTCATCTCTACTTCTAGAGAGTGGTTGTGATGGTAAGTCGCTTCGTACGTCGCCATTCGTCTCCAGCCCGCAAGTTTCGCTCGACAGAGACATTGTGAGCCATACGATCCTAATCAACCACCTGTGAAAGGAAGTCCCGAAATCATGGCTGCGCAATGGAAGGACTTACCACCTCGCTCACGTTAACACATTCGGCCTCGCCGTTGTCGCTACCGTATCTGCAGCCCTCGCCGTACTTGAAACCTAATCCGCACTTCATCTCGATGTCGCTTCTTACTCATGATCTATGACGGCCGTTGCCCCCCTATCCGACCATCCCGGGTTTTCTCTACCGCCGACAGCTTAGTCCGAGCGTCGCCGCCATCAGCGGCCCCATTCTCCCTCATCCTAGTATAGTCAACTCCTCCCGCGACATCCATCTCGCCTATGAAGAGTGTGGTGACGTGCGACGAGTGGTCAAGGTCGCCATCCCAATCTTGCGTCGCACTGTTTTTTTTTTTTTTTGAGAAACTCGAGTATATGGGATACTCAAGTGAAAGGAGTACACTCAGCCTGCATTAGGTTTATCAGTCAGTCCGGAACCTTTGCAACTAGCCGCAGATCCCCAAGCTATCTAGCCTCCATGGCTAACTCATGAGCAACAGAGTTGCCTTTTCTTCCCACGTGACTGATCTTAAAGGAAGAAAACATCTTCAGAGTCTCCTTGATGTCACAGAGGACGCCATAACATGGGGAGAGACTTCGTGCTTCCTTCTTTAACTCATTGATCATCGTCAAGCAGTCCATCTCAAGCATTAATGGTCCTCTGTACAATTCAACCAAAGCCTTCAGGCCTATAAGCGCGGCCCTTGCCTCAGCCTCCTCGATGCTCCCCACAATGGCCATTTCCTTTCCAACTGACACAAGCGGGAATCCCCTGTAGTCCCTTGCAATCGCTCCCGCCCAGCTAAACCCACTGTCAGGTAGAAGAGCTGCGTCAGAGTTTAATTTCACGGTATCTCTACTCGGGGCAGACCATCTTATGGTTTGCTGAACTGTCTCGGGTGGTTCGACCTTGGCCAGAGGTCTGATATCTTTCCCTGTTTCCGATGAGAGAGGCAAAAAGGATAGCTGCACCTCGTCCTCATATTTCTGTAAAAACTTGACAGATTGCCAGATAGTTTCCTTGCATTTCCCGTGAACACAATCATCACGTAGATGCCATCCTCTCCACAGTAGGAGCATTACCTTTGCCCTCATAATATCTGGGGTCGAGTTCAGTAACAGTTGCAGCCAATCCGGACCGGTGTATCTGAATGAACCTTCAGGCGGTAGCTCCCAAATTTTCCTCATTTCGTGACGAAGGGCTCTACTTTTGGTACAGGACACCACCGCATGGAACTCACTTTCCTCCTCGCAGCCGCAAATGCTGCAAGTGGCATCCAACTCCAATGATCTCTTCCACTTGTTCTTTTTTGTGGCTAACGTATTTGTTGCAACTCGCCAGCCAAAAATCCTGACCTTCGGAGGGACCTTTGATTTCCAAATTAGATCCCAAATACTCCTATCTCCCGGATCCTTCGAGGAGCTCGACGGAGCCTGCCTAATTTGGCCCTGAATTGTAGCGGCCAGCTTGTAAGCACTCCTTACAGAGAAGATTCCACTCTTTTCATAATGCCAAGCTATTCTGTCCACTGTGGGTGAGCTAGGGACAGAGATTTTGCAGATTTCATCCGCATCAAATGGCTGGAAAATTTGCCTAATGAGGTCCTCGTTCCACTCTTTGCTGTCTAGTTTCATAAGCTGGTTCACCCAGCGCAATCTA